ATTAAAGATGGTAGGAAAATGGTACTGAGGAACTTGATCACCAACATGACTTTGAAGTAGACAGAAATCAATATGCCTTAAGCACATCTGCAAAATCACATCCAACTCAGTAATTTGTATCTACTGTCCCTTCATTGTTGAATCATGTAATGACTGTAAAAGGATAAAACTGGGAGGAAAGCAAAGCTCTTTAAAGCTTCTTAACAGAGCTCAAATTACAGAGTTCTGAAAACAACTTAAAATGTATACCACAGGAGGAAGGACTTATTTTACGTAAAATAAGACCCCAAATGCCATCAGCCATAGAGGGGAAACTGATTAATTTGATCATATCAAAATAAAAATATTTCTGTTCATTAAAGGACATAGTCCAAATAATAGATAAGTTGAAATAACATATTTGCAAAATCTAAATCTGACACAGGCTAATATCTAGAATAAAGAAAGAACCCCAACAAATCTATAAGTACATGGGCAGGAATTCCAATAGGAAAATGGTCAAGGAATATCAATAGCCAATTCATAGAAGGGGAAACCCAAAGGCCTCATGTATGGAGAGCTGCCCAAACTCATGACGATGTCACTTTACACCTACAAGATTAACAAAAAGTTTAGGAAGCCGGATGCTTCTATGTGTCGGCAGGGACATGAAGAAACAGAAGCACTTGTACACGTCCAAAGATTCTTGGTGCACACGCAGCTCTTCTAGAGAGCAAGCTGGGAGTATCTAGCCTAATATTATTACCCAGCAATCCATTTCTGGGCGTATATTCTAAAAAACTCTGGGTGTGAAAAAAGATTTGGGGCAACCTGGGTGTTCATTATTGCTGGGAGCAGTAAATAGCACATGGGCAATGCACCCTACTGGATACTCTGTAGCAATTAAAAGCAACAAAATAGATGTATACCCAGAAATGTGAATAGATTCCTCAGTGTTCTGAGCATAAAAAGGAAGGATTAAATGAGTTCTATAGCCCCATTTAATTTATGAAACTTAAGAGTATATACACACAAGACAATACTAATCATTTTATAAGGATGTATGCCAAGTCAAAGATATACATGAACCCAGTTGTTGCCTTTAGGAACAGAAATGGAGAATAATGAAAAAAGGGAAATCAATCAATCAATCAATAGATGGGACCAGTGATGAAAAGTGAGCCACGAACTGGTGATTAACTCAATCTAAGTTTCAAAAGAAACACACATAACACACCTACACATACACGCAAACACACACACATACACATGCCCCTGTGAGCTGGCTATGGACCCCAACATTTAGGGGACGGTATAACCCAGTGCCTGCTTTTCCGCAGGGCATGGACCACTGATATTAAACTAGGCCATGTCCAATGCACTGTCTCCTTGCACAGCTGACGGGTGGCATTGTTTGTGCTTGTCTTGTTTTGGGTGGGCATTTCTCTTTCCAGGAAAACTTGTGAAGCACAATGGCCTTGTACTGCTAAACACAGCAAATAAGTAGCCTGGCAAATGCCAGCGAGCTAGAGAAGAAATGCCACGGAAAATGCACAGAGTTGCTGACAAGGTCAATGTCGACGTCTCCACTATCACATGCCCAGCTTTCTTGTTCCTTAAAGCTTGTCTTTAACTCTGACTTCACCTAAAGCAAAAGGCCGTTTATAAATGATTAAGGACTTCTAACTTCAAATTTTGTTTTCCATAGAGGAGCTGGGTAAGGACCCTGTGGTTCTCTCTCCCACATGTGACGATGTGGTTCTCTCTCCCACATGTGACGATGAGGGTAAAGTTACAACAAATAACATACAGTACATGGGATGGCTTGTGAGAATTTAAATTAAGATTACATTAAATTAAAATTAAAGAGAATTTAATTGTCAGCAAAATCCAAAGAGCTGAAGCAAAAGGATGAGTGTGATCAGGTGATGGTAAGTACAAAGGGCAAGCATGACAATGGCATTTCCCCTGGTTTGGAGAGGACTCACTCCAAAAGAACTTGAGATACAGGATGTTACAGCCCCAGGGTCAACTCCTTTGGGAACCTTCCCTGACTACCCTTGCTGAGTGGGGGGCCCTCCTGGGGTCAGAGCAGGGACCTTGTGTGTCCCTCTGTTTAGACATTAACACATCATCACAGCTTCCTGTTTACTTGTCTGTCCCCTTCCCCCCACAGGGACTTCACATTGCAGTGGCCTGCCACCTAGGAGCTCTTCAATAAATGTTGAGAGAACACATGACAAATACATGGATGAGGCTGTGAAACAACCCCTCTTTCCCAAGTATAGAAATAAAGCATACATTGGTGCAATTTAGGCAAGTGCCCTAGTTCACTTAACATATTTAGTGGAGAACTTACTGTGTGCCAGACACGGGGGCACTACAGTGAAAAAGACCCCCAGAGTTCCACTTCCGTGGAATTTAGATCCTACATAAGGGGCAATGCATAATAAGCCCCCAAACAACTCAACAAGATAATTTCAAATATAAGTGCTTAAAAGACAACAGAACAGGGGCATGAGAAAGAATGATGTGCAGAGAGAGGCTACTTTAGTAGTCCAGGAAGACTTCTCAGAGGAAGTGACATCTGAACGGAGTTCTGAATATCAAGACGGAGCCACAGACCCACAGGGATTGGACACAGCAGGCAGAGGAGATAAGAACAGTAATCCTGCCATATTGCTGTTTTGTAGAAGGAACAGGAAAGATATTTGTATCAAGAAAGAACATAAATAGATTCCTAGGGCTTCGTGTGTTTGTTTTGCAATTGGTATTATGAAGACAATGCAAAGCATGTATTGAATATGCTCATTGTATTCAGTGTGTACAGGTGGCAAAACTCTGGGCGGCGGCCTGTTTTATACACTCAGAATATTCTGAAGCTTAAAACATGCTCCTTCAAAGAGTGTTAGCAAACAAGAGGCCAGTAAAAAGTCACATGTCCTCTGCTTTCTAATCATTTACTCCACATTCCCTATCACTCTCTGTAAGCATAAGCAGTTCTGACAAAGCAGATGTTTATCTGCATTTGTAAGGATCTCTAGAGCTGCTGTAATACCACCCCAAGCATCAGAGAACTTGATGAATCCAGCTTTTACTGGATTTGCTACAAATGGTCCATGGACACTGCTGCGTTCTAGAGCTGAACGGTTTTCTTGAGGTCAGTTCACTTCCAACTCTACTCTCTCGACAGCATCTGTGAGTATGGTCAGTGATAACAGCAACGAGGGATTAAATAGGGCCCTGATCATCTGGATGGAGGCTTTGTGGCTTTATTTCAAGCATAAACCAGGATGGAGAGTTCTCCCATTACAGATCCATATTGAGCTTGTCCTTGGACAACTGACCATGATTCACTAATGCCTAAATGCGTCCTGAAATCCTCATATGCCAGTCTGTTGCTTGGATTAGTATCGATTTGCTTTATCCCTCATAGAAGACAGTGCACCCTAACCAGGAACGTGCAGTCTTCACAGGGAAGAACTATGGGGTTTGAACGCTCCTTAGCTCTATATAAGAGAGGCAGCTTTCAGGAGCACACACTCCACCTTGGGACAGATGGAAGGACTATTTCCCATCAGGCTATCACTGTCATTCTAACTTTAAACTTGAGTATCTCCAAGGGTTTTAACACCACTGCCAAAATCTGCTGAGTGGCCCTAGGTTGCTCCCAGAGGATGGGGAAAAGCAACACAGATAGACTTCAGAATTCTCAGAGAGCACACACACCTGGAAACGGGGTCCTAGGAACTATTTCACAGCACAGAGCATCCCATGGGGACAGTGGTGAGTGACAGTGAAACCCCCAGGAGAATGATGGGTATCTCTCTTAAGCTGTGAATGAAGGTTGGAATTGTGATTAGACAGATGATTGTCATGATCCGCTTATGACCCCATCATAAGCTCCTTCATTATTTCAGATCCTTTATAAGGGTGACATGCTCACTTGGTAATCTCTCTCTCTCCCGTTGTCCTCACCTGCTTCCTTCCTTCTCCCCTCCATCCCTCCTCTCTCCTCCTAGTTCCCCCTCCAACCTCCCCTTCTCTCATAAACATGTCATCAGCATCCACAAATGGCTGGAACACCTGAGTCCCTCCAAGCAGGCCCTGCTGTCAGCTGCCTCCCAACTGACCCAGGGAAACAGAACATCTGAGTCATTCTTCACTTGGGTCCTGGGCCCATCCCCATGACGATGCTCTGCCTTGGGCTCTGGAGACAGCCTTCTCTCAAATACTTTTTTCTTACAGGTCGAAACATCCAGAAGCTTACCCTGGGTCCTATATGCTTGCTGCTTCCCAATGCCCCATCCTCTGGGGCTTGTTCAACCCTGAGAATAAGCCTCATGAAATGGTCACACAAGTATGACCACCTCATTCAATACATGAAGACAGCGAAGCTTAGAGTTTAAATCATTTGTCTATGGTGAAATAACCAGGAAATGGGAATTCAGGTTCAAACTGCAGAATGACAGGCTGTGAGCCTGGTGCTCTCCTCACCATACTCCGGGACTAGAAAAGCTGAAGCATTAGATACAGTGCACATATAAACACATACTACTCATGTGAATACATATGTATAAATGCTTTGATATTTCACTTCAAAGGTTTGAAAGGACACTACCTTCCTGGACATAGATTCCCCGCCCAATATACCCATCAACGCCCCACACCTGGTGGTCAGAGCTCAGAGCACAGAACACCCCATATCCCTTCAGAGCTTCTTATAAAGTCAAGCATTCCAGCCCCTTTGAAACAGAGAGCCTGAGCTCTACCTCGGGGACTTGAGGACCTCCGTTCTTGCAGAGGCCCCTGTGACCACCGCAGCCCAGCCTTCCACCAGGACCCCAGAGGCTTGGGAGGGAAGGGGAGGCGGGGGTCCATTGCTAAGTACCCAGCCCTGCCTGGCCTCAAACCATGACACGGGCTGGATGGGCACAGGCTGGGAAGGAGGGAGTCTCTGAACAGCCAGAGCTCTACTGTCCAGTACAATAGTGGGGATGGGCAGCCGTGGCCACACTTACCTTGGACGATACAGGCACCCAGGTAGGCAGCATCTGAAAAGGAGCAGAGCAGTCGACCGTGGAAAATATCTCTTTTAATTTGCAGGTACAAAAGATACCTGCAATGCAAAAGGAGAAAGAGTCGCCCTAAGTTTTGGCCGAGGCCTGGAAGAAGTAGAAGGATTGCTCATGCTTCATGCACCTGGGTCACCAGAGCCCTACCCAAGCCCCTCAGAGGGCAAGGAGAGGAAAACTGGGAGGAGCCCCCAGAGTTCAGAAAACCTGCAGTGTCTGCGGCAGCTTCCAGAGCCGTGTGGCTGGCCCTTTCCAAAGAGACACAGGAAGGATGGACGAGAGCCACAGGGCCCCGCAGCCACCGTCCCTGGCAGAAAGTCCCACACAAGGACAACCGCAGCCACTGTCACCGTCACCAGCACCTCAGCTACAGGCTGCCTGAGCTCTCTGTGGAATGAGGGCTCAGGAATCGGACTCAGTCTACAGAGACTAGTCCCGGAGGCAGACAGACCCATGTTAATCAATCTCAAAAAGACTTGGTCACGAGGCCAGAAAGCCAACTTATTCACAGCACGTAGTGTCCTCTCCGCTTCTCCAGGGATGGCAAACAGATGGCCTCAGGGCCAGACAAACCTGTCACTGAGCGAAACAGGCTGGGGTGAGGATGTCGGGAAGCAGAACAGAGGGTGCAGGCCCCTGCGAAGGGGTCAGCCGCTGTGCAGCTCCAGCGTCACAGCGACGGGTTTAGAAGTGAAATCCTTTGAATTTTAAATGTTGCAGCAAACTCTATTTTTGAAAACACTGGCGTGCCAAACGAAAAATACGCATGGGCCTGATTCAGCTGGGGATGGCGGGGCGGCGGGGGCGGGGGGGCAGTGTCAGTTTACCACCCCTGCTCAGGCTCGTCTTGTCACTGTCCCCTCTGTTCCTCTACGCTGATTACGCTCTCTTCAGATCTCCTATGTGTTTGCCGGATTGATTCTTTCATTGAAGGCTCAGGCCTGGGGTCTATTGTTTCTGACTAACTTTATAGGTGTGTGAAGATTCTTTGTTTATTTTGGAGTTTAAGTCGTAGAGACCAACCTTTCTTCTTTCCAGGTTCTTGAGGCCAGGTGGGGAGTACCACCCAATCAGTCCTAGTCACTGCCTCCAGGGCTCAAATAATCTGATCTTAACTCAGCCTGTGAGCAGCCTCAGGCACAACCCCACTCAGAGAGCATAACTGAGGTACTCAGATCACTCAGGGGCTGGCAGCAGCCCCCACCCCGCCTCCCCAAGCGCTGGAGCTCGCCATCCCCGGACACACAGATGCACTGAAGGGTTCAGTGGCTCCCTGGTGCTTCCACTTGATGAATCTTTATCTCACACCCGCTTTACGCCATGACAGTGCTAGGCACTGGGCACATGATGGAGGTTCAAATGACACTCTCTGTCCCCAACTTTGTATGGAATTGTGTGCAGGACATAAAGGTAGTCCCTAATAAATTTCTTATCTGGAGTTAGTGTACATTTTGTCAAGGGAACAGTATTACACTGGCCATCAAGGACCCAGAGTATCTCCCTAAACTGGTGCCTCTCACACTTTAGTGAGCACGTGAATTACCCAGAGATGCTGTTAGAATGTGGATTCAGTAGGTCTGGGTGGGGCCCAAGAGTCCATATTTCTAATAAGCTCCCCAGTGATGCTGAGCTGCAGGCCCATGGACCACACTTGAGTAATAAGGTTCTAAACCAGAGGTTCTCAGCCTGACTGCATGTTAGAATCACCTGGGGGAGCTTTTAAACAATACCAACGTGGACCCTACCCCTGACCCAATTAAATCAGAATCTAGGTCCTCACAAAAATGTGTATATGAATGCTCATAGCAGCATTCTTCATAACAGCTAAACCAAATGCCCATCAACTGATGAAAGGATAAAAGAAAGTGGTATATCCATACAATGGAATATTATTCAGCCATAAAAGGAAGGAAGTACCTACTGATGCATGCGACAACATGGAAGAACCTTGAAAAGATTAAGCTAAGTGAAAAGTCAGATATAAAAGGCCACATATTATATGATTCCATTTGTACAAAATTTCAGAACAGACAAACCTACAGAGACAAAAACATAGCTTAGTAGCTGCCAGGGGCTGGGGGGAGTGGGGAATGGGGAAAGACCGCTTGAATACTAGGTTTCCTACTGCAGTGATAAAAATGTTCTGGAAGGAAATCACGGTGATGGTGGCACAACTTTAAGAACATACGAAACCCACTGAATTGTACACTCTAATATCTGCCTAAAGAAACTAATAGTTTTGAAAATCCAATTGCCTTAGAGTAATACTTTTGAAAATCCAATTGCCTTAGAGTAATGGTTCTTAAAATTTGACATGCTTTAAAATTACCTGGAGGGCTTGTGAAAAGACAGATTGCAGGGCCCCATCCCAGGTCTGGCGCAGGGGCCAAGTTCCCAAGTGATGCTGTTGCTTCTAATCCAGGGATGTGACTTTGAGGACCACGGCCCTAGATCATTCACAATACCAAGGTCACACAAATACTTGAGACGATGAAATCTTTCCTTTCTTAAAGAATGTAAACTACCTGGCTAAATGCCATCAAGTTTCTTTTCTACGTGCTGCATGTATGCATTGAACAAAAAGCATTCCTTTCCACGTTTTGGTGAGTTTAGTAGTGGAAAATAGTTTCCAATAAATATTTACTGATGAATGAGACGTTTGGGTTCTGATCCCATAACTCAGAAATTGAGTTTGACAAAAGCTTCCTGAGAAAAGAAAATCCGCTTTCACAACAGCTGAGTTTGTGTCCTTGCTCATATTAGTGAACTCTAGAGATAATCATGGATTATTATGGATTCCACATAATCCACTGAGCCTTACAAATGGCTTCAGGTTCAGATACTCATTTTTTAATATAATAGCCACCAAAATAATAATAATAATAATAATAATAATGCATTTTCCTTCAGTCTCACCCCTCCCTGCATGAAAGAATTAAGCAACAAAAACACAAGAGGATCTGGGGCATACATTATTATGCCACCATTAATGATATGCTTCTCTATCTAACATGAATTTAAAGGTGGTTCTTACTAAAAAATTTAAAACCAACATGCTTTTATTACATTCAATTGTATATAGCATTTGCAAATGCCTCAGAAATCTAAAGGATTGTAAGGTGACTGTGTAAATGGAGAGAGAAAAGAAGGATTAAAAAAATGATTTCAAATATCCTTTTTGGTGAGTATTTTTGTTGTTTTGCTCTTTTAAAACCGCTTTTTTCTCAATGTTTCTTTACCACTTAGCCTGGTCATGAATGTGATCTTAGCTTCTCATTTATTAAATTCTTAAATTTTAGATTAATCTTGTGATAAAATAACATCAAACAATAAAAACCAAATTCTTTCAAGATAGGGTTTAAATCATAAGTACCTGAGTCATTCCACAGTTTGTAGATCCCTTTTGAATTCTAAGGACTGTGTTGACTCAGAAAAACCCATTTCTATGTGTATTGTCTTAATTTCCTTTGGAGACATAAAAATGTTTGCAACGTGGCACAATTCATACCTTAGTTATTCAGACAAATGCAGGGAAGTGCTAGCAAATTGAATTGAGAGGGATTTAACTAAAACTTTGTACCCTTTTACTTTCAAATGGGACTTTTCTCAACATCACCAACAAAAGACCCATCCTTAATTTATACTGTGACACATATTCAATTTTTATCCTCTGGACAAGATCTTAAAGAAAACAAGTGACAAAAGTGAGCTATATTGGCCCCTGATGAAATAATGCCTGGCATTAGTATTTGATTTGATCTTCCTAATTACAGTGTTAGCACCCGGAGGGTGGGACAAATATCTTTACCTATTTATTTATTTATTTAGGCGGCTCATATAGCCCTTGCAGACAGCAGGAACTGAGGAAGTACTTAACAAATAAATGAATAAATTTTTCAAGCCAAAAGCAGGCCGAAGCCACATACCATTTGATTGCATTTATATGAAATGTCCAAAACAGGTAAATCCATAGAGATAGAAAGTAGATGAGTGGTTTCCAGGGTCTGGGGGATGGGAGAGTGGGTAGTGACTGCTAATGGGTACAGGCTTTCTTTTTGGGGTGATAAGAAATGTTCTGGAACTAGATAATGGTGATGGTGGCCTTACATTGTGAATGTACTTAATGCTACAGAACTGTACACTTTGAAACGGTGAAAAAAATTTATGTTACGTGAATTTTACCTTAATTTAAAAAAAAAAAGCAGGCCAGATTGCAAAACACCAACCACTACTTACAATGTCCATCATCTCCTTTCCCACGCATACCCTGCCCCGCCCCCAAGCACAAACCTCCACCAACAGCTGTGCACAGATTACTAACAGAGAATGGCTCCCTTCCAACATCACCTTGTGTCACTATGGTGGAGCTTTACCAGACCCTCGTGGATAATGAGAGAGCACAATACCCTAGAACCCAGCACGTGACTCTGCACATGATGATCAGAGTCAACTGCCTTTGCTTCTCTGCTGCATTCGGACCCACGCAGATTATTCTGAGAGATGACTAGACACACTGACTTTTTTTGGTCACCAGATCAGAGGCTCATTAAGAGCTAAGCACACCCCTCTCGGGACCCTGATCAGTGGCATTGGCCAAGGCTGTTCACGGAAGCAAAACCCCCAGAAGGTGGACTATTTGTACGTGGCCGTGGCCCGAGAACCAGAAAATGCAGAGTTGGGCTGAGAAGAGTCTACAAGGAGAGGGAAGCCGGCTCCGCGGTCGGTCATTTAGCAAGCGGAATGTGGGATAACAAAACAGTTCATCATTCTGTCAAGGGATCTTTTCCCTTCAGAAAAACTTAGATCCAAAAGACAGGTCCCAGGGGCTGCACTAGCTATGAATTTGCCCATATCCTAAACGCAGTCATCTATTTATTTTTAGCATCCCACTGTCAGGTGTTTTCAGAGAGCACCTCCTCCTGAAACCCACTGCTTTTTTGTGCAGTTAATTACACTCCCAATGACAATGGTTTGAAAAGTCCCAAGACAATTAAGTGTAAGAGAAACATTCCAAGCCAAATGCTGAGCTGAGCGCCTGCTTGGTGGAGACACTCCGCTCTAGACAGGAGTAAAACTCAGAGGCCCTGGCTGTTTCAAGGGGCACGTTAAACATACAAACAAACAAACAAATACCTGGTGAGCTCTTCTTTAATCTTCAAGGGTTCGTGTGGGTAGAATTTCACTCTAAAGCACATGGTGTATGGTGGATGAGCTGAAACGTCATAAAGAAAAAGCATGAGAAAAGCAGCAAAAGACCATGGACTCAAACACACACAGGAGAGTCAGCCATGAAGCCTTCCAGCCTAGCCTGGGGGGAGGGGCAGGGGGATTTTCTGAAAGAACAGATATTATGCCCAAGAAAACGAAGCAACAGTGACAACAAAACAATGGAAATGCTTGGCAAGACACCTAAAGCAAACTCAGGATACAGGCAATCTAGTCGGTCAGCACAGCTTCCCATGTCATGGCTCTTTCCTTCTCTCCAGGTCACAGATTCAAATAACATTTTCTCTTCCATTCTTCCCACTCTCTTCTGACAGATAAATTGTTCGTAAGTACCACTCAGGTTTTTGGCCTAGTGAAATATTTTTTTAGCCTGTGAGGTGGAAAAATGTCACGGCACATGACTAGTTTTCCCAAAGTGGTGGTGCCGTTGACCTAAAATCAGGATTTTAAAAATGGAGTCGCCATGCACAGATCCTACTTCGTATAATTTTAGGATTATTTTAGTGTTATCTATCAATGAGGCAGTTGCTTGCACGAAAAGAAACACTTTTATAACTTCCTGCTTTGTCTAAATCAGGATAGCATTATGCAGGCTGAAATTCTGGTTGAGGTTCATTGATTCTGGAATGTTCTAATTGCATTAAAACTTCCAGAACTCAATAGCCAGCCAAGGGGATTCTATAGGATTTCTTTTAATTATAAGACCACTGTTGACTTGCAATACTAACCTAATAAATGCACACAAGTGCAGTAAGATGCATTCAGATTTCAGTTAGTATATAAAACGAGCATCTTAAAATCAAAGAAATACGATGGTTAGTATTATTATTTCTATGGGTCTGACATACCCACTCATTATTTGTCTCTGTATCAGTATGGCTGCTTGGGATCAGCTCTGAGACTACATCCAAATGTGAATATGGAACAGCACCCTATTCTGCCTCAAATCTTCTTTCATAATCAGCAGGGGTTAAATCACCAGCCAATTCTACAACATCTGGGGCTATCCCGTATGTAGACAAATCCTTTATGTAGAAAGAACTATTGGCATCAAAAATGAATGTATAATGAGGATAATTTAACATGGAAAACAATTATCTAAAATAGTTTGAAAGAAAGTATCCAAATCCCAGAAAAACATAGCAGCATCTTACTGGATATTTCAGCAGAGAAAAACTGATTAAAAATACCCATACAGGGCTTCCCTGGTGGCGCAGTGGTTTAGAGTCCACCTGCCGATGCAGGGGACATGGGTTCGTGCCCCGGTCCGGGAAGATCCCACATGCCGCGGAGCGGCTGGGCCCGTG